GGCCTTATGTGGTTCGCCACTCGAAGTCCCGGGGCTCAGGTTACCGGACTCCATCAATAAACAGCAGGTCCTCGTGACTGGGGTTTGCCCCCTCAGCTATTCACCACACTAAAAGTGTGTAATAAAAAAGATGAAGGTTGTAAGGATAATGGGTAGNTTTGCAGTACTCATCCATATCCTTCAGTGTCTCAGCACCGTTTCGGCGATCTACAACTTCCCATCCAGGGAGCCAGATACGCCTTATATAACCGAGTCTCCCGGTTGGGTTGGGTTTTTCATGCCCTCATGCCAAATCTTAGCTTAACCGCCCTCAACCTTTTTCACCCGCTGCCTTCCTCGGCAAACATCGCACACCGTGGCAACCTATTTGGCGGTATGCGTAACACTTGCCCCGACTAGCGCAATCTATAAAGGTTTACCATTTGACCCAGTAGGAGATCGCTATCACTTAAATCTCTGCCTCTTACACCAGCATTGCTTGTTCGGTTGCCTCACTAGACTCGTACAATTTGGCGTAGACAGTGGCGTTCGAACACTGACAGTCTATCTTTATCCTGTTCCCTTCATGGCCAAGTCGGCACCGTAAAGTAGCACCGGCCGAACTGCTGCAGTATACACCCGACAGTTGGATGTCGTGGAGGTGCCACCGATGTCTCAATTTAGTAAATACCAATCGAGCCGCTTCTATGATTAAACAAGCTTCCTCGAGAGTGGAATGGTATCGTTCACCATTGGTCAGAGTGCACGAAAATAAAGCTATACGACGGTTATTTTGAATGAGTGATGCGACTATATCCACATCGGAAGTCTACTTCCTCAGCTTAAGGTGACTCATAATCCACGGTAACAAACAAAATCTTAGTTTTGTTTCAGTTTCTCCAGTGCGTTTTTGACGAGCGTTAGTACAGGGAAGGCTGTTCTTCTAAGCAAGTGAATTGATTTGGTCTGAAAACCGCTGTATCCATTTTTATTAGTAAGCAAATAATGGTAACGTCACCAAATTATTACCCCACAGGACGAGTGTTCGAATCTTACCACCACCGCCTGACTCTCCCCATGTGTGTCGCATGGCAGCCCTTTGATTGGCCGCTTCCCCCTTCTTGAAAACTGTTAAATGTAAAATGTAAAAATGAAAATGAAAAAATAGACCAATCGCATAGACTTACTGTTCGTGTGAAGGGGAGTTTCATACAATTGTCGCATTCATCATCATCGTACAGCGAAATACAGTGAAGCGAACTTCACTGATCGCTGCCAAACTTGCGATGTATACAAGGTTAGTGGTAATTTTTAAGGTGGACAGGGACTGGACCTATTTTGAGGGAGGGAGCAGAAGGTAAACCTCTGTGATCAACATATAGAGTACACAGTCAAACTCGGCATATATGCCGCTTCAAACATTGTGACCTTATAAGAAATGATGACAAGAACGCCACTGCTCTCGGCTCGCTGCCATATCCTTCAATGTCTCCAACCAACTAGTTGTGGAGTCTTTCGGACACCAACCGGCAAGGCGCAAAACCCCCACTCTATCTAATGGCTATGTGCATTTCTTCGTGCCTCGTCTCCACCTTAACTGTTGGCCTCCACGTGGTTTCCTCCAGTCCGGAGTGGATACAGCGAATAAAGCGCGGCGCGGCAGAAGACAGTTAAGCATACGCAATGCGTGCCATAGCCAGTGAATCCTACTAATCTGAATTCGACGAGCTAGCAGGTTTGTCCCTGATAAACTCCTAAACACGACGGCTTACCTCCAGATTACTAACCCGTTTGCTCCATCCCGGAGGCTAAACTACACAAAAACCGATAGTTGAAAACCTTTAGTCGATGGATCTCTCGCAAATTCTTTGTCTCAAAACTATAAAGCAAAACTGAACTAAGGGTCGCACAATATACACAACCTTTCAACTTCAGCGAAATATCGCGCTTAAGCCAAAGGTGTTTCAGTCCTGCGTATGCTGCTCGAGCTTTGGAAATTCGGACGGTTATATCCTTGGCTGCGCAACCGTCATTGGTCAGGAAAAGCAATCTGCTATAACTAACTAAAGCGGGAGTAGGCGACACAGTCATGCAGCAGCACTTTATCCTTTGAGGTGTTTTTTTTATAAAACTAAGCGTGGTGAACGGCAGACAGGGCGAAACCCGTAGTCACCAGGACCTGCTGTTTATTGATGGAGTCCGGTAGCCTAAGCCCCGGGACTTCGAGTGGCGAACCACATAAGGCCCCGATAGGTGAGGCGTGGTATTGAACCGGACAACAGCAAAGTTGCCTACCACCAGCCGGGCGGTGGTGGAAGGGCTCGATCCACGGACCATAGGGTCCAAAGCACGCTGGTGACAGCGACTAAACCACTGCTCCACCACCACCACTACGGTGAAAAAAAGCATACCGTGTATTGCAACAGCATTTGTCTATCAAGTGCGTCCTCCGTACATTCCAAAAGACTCACGCTGTCATCAGCGTACTCCAAATTGCACAGCTTTTCTCCAGCTGCCCCGTCAATTCTTCCGTTTTGGAGAACGCTTAGTGGGTTCTCTAATATTTCGTCTACGAAGAAATAGAAATAGAATGGCGAAATAGGGCGTCCTTGTTTGACACAGTCTGAACTCAGACGTATGTGAAATATATATAGTAAGTTAACACACTTCTGGGGCTTTCCTGTTCGAAGAAGGGAACCCATCACAATTTCACAGTCAACTGAATCGAAGGCTCCTTCAGGCCAAGGGACACTACGATCGTTGGTCGACGGCGAGTGTGACGCAGCTCAAGGATCTGACGCAACGTAAAAATTTGATCAATACATCCGCGGTCAGGCTGGAATCCAGCTTGCTGTTCACGTCTGTTGCACTGATAATGCTGCCTAGCCTGGCTACGAACCGTCTGCGAACAACACTTCCAGCTCGGGGAACACACCAGCACCAACACAGTGGAAAGGAGCCCACCCGGTCCTACTGTCTTTTTTCGCTTCAGAGCTCGAATGCAAGACTGAACTTCTGTTTCTGCTGGAGAAAGGCACGATACTGTCCAAGGAGCTTCAGTTGCAGATGAAGTAATTTGCCTAGCACCAAGTCGACTGAATTGTTGTTTGAAGCCTTTCTCCCAGCGATCAAGTCGTTGATCCCTATTGTGAACAATTTGTTCCCTCTCATCGCAGACTGTTTCCCTAACTGGAGTTCATCATATTGATTATCAGTTGGAACAGTCTTTGACTATTCCCTGACGCGGCTGCTACTTCCATTTCACTAGTTATTGTGGCCCACCAGTTCTCAAGGTCTTTCTCGAGGCTCTTCGTAAGCTGACGTAGATGCCACCTAACTCTGTTTTGATCATGAAAGGTCGAGGCTTGTCGTTTTTTATCCATCAAGGCTACTGACTCATGAGATATCCAATGCCCTTAACGGGCTTGAGGCTCAAACTCACCAGTAACATTCGCTGCGGAATGCATCGCTCGCCTTATCTGATCCCATTGCTCATCTATATCATCACGTTGAGGTGCACTTAGTTCACGCACTAGCTCTGATTCATAGCTCACACGAACTGCAGAACAGAGTCGATAATGAGCTATCCGAGTTTGCTGATTTTGTCGCCGTTGGAGACTGAACTGCATCGAAGCCAATGCGTGGTCAGACTCAATGCAGGTGGTCTTATACTACCTGCAATTTCGCACTGATCCACGCCAACGGTAGCCTACAGCTGTGGTCGATTTGAGTTAACGTACAAGTTGAACTGGACCGTTACATTGCCGTTCGTCGAGGGCTGTGTCGGCAGTTGGTACTATATGGGAACAGATCATGGTCTGCGCCGAACTGAAGAGGTCGATCGCCGTTATCTGTTCGTTGGCAAGGCAGAGCACAAATACCACTTAGGCAGGCGTCTGATATGCTTAGTTTTCCAACCTGCGCATTAAAGTCACCTGCAAGTACAACTGTGTCGGAGCTTCGACTCAGCCTAATGAGTTCCGTTATTTTATCTTACGGCATTTTGTATATCAGAACTGCAATTGGTCGTTGCGTGGGCCGATATGATGAACATACACTTTTTAGTGTTCCTTCCCTTGCGGACGCTGGTTGAACCCTGGAGACGCACTGCACATGAACAACTGTTGACGAGGACCCAGTCGATAAGAGAGAACTCGACCCTGTTTCTGGGTAGGCCACCTACCCAACGCCGAGCTACTGAGCTGTCTTCGTCGCCTGATGTGCGAAGACCGTACCTTGTGGAGAAATCTTCGCGCTCAATTTGCTGATAGTAGTTAGATCCTGGATTCGAGTCTATTTTACGCAGCAAATATCGATCCCTGGGGATTTCACTGTACGCGCTAGACAAGCTTATTGACCTACCTGCATCAAAGTCCTCACGTTGCAGGCCCCCAGACTCAGTGATTGACGAGACTTTGGCTGGATACGGGAGACAAAGGTAGGGATATGTGAGCAGTAACCCATTCATCACTACCCTCCTCCGCTTGATACAAACGGCAGTGCGGTCCTGTTTATTCTGTGTGACGATCGATGCAGTATACGATTATTTTTAGCGTTGGGCTTTGATAGACGGGTACTGCTCGGTTGTCCATTCACTAAGCAAGAGAACGATTAGGGTTCTCAACCAAAGCGTTTCGTTCTAATAAGAACTTCACCGCAAGGTAGCGGACGAAGCGAAGTGGAAGCTCATTTACTTGGATCGCTTACTCCGCCATTTTGCCAACTGAAATGCAAATTCTAGTTGAATCCCCCACCTAGAGGATCAGGAGACGCGTTCGTCTGAACTGTTCCCTTCGACTCTCCTGGCATGATGAGATCTTCTGACTTAACAAAAGCCATTCTATGTATCTCGTTGGGTCACAGAGGTGCACAGGCCATCATACCACGTCAAGGTGCAGTCTCGTCGTAATGGGGTGTCTTATTCGGTCTTGATCTGGTTTGATAAAGCCCTGAGATATGTGATGAAGGAGAATTTAGATTTCCTTGAGAGTAGTTAGAGTTTTTTTCACTTCGATTGATGCCTTACTCGGTGATGTATACCAATAAGTTTTCCAGAGTTTAATCATGGTCACCCCGAGGTGACGTCTGTGTACAGGAAAGTATTTTTCAGGCACTCTACCTTTGGAATATTGTCAGTTACGGGTTGAAAACAGATGACCTCGTTTGTACCCTTGAACGGTATTTGGCGGAACTAAAAAAGTGGTGCAGGGCTTCTCTCTGCTTTTAATGAGAGTCTGATGATACGTATTTCAGATCAAGAGTACTGTATACGATATATAGTGACTGGCTAAATATCTGGTTGTGTGGAGCGGTTTGACTGTCCATAACTCATCGCTTCTTGTGATTGACGTTTTCTGTGACCTCTAAGGAGAGTTTGAAGGTTCAGTAATGCCATCACTCAGAACACCCATTCCAGACTGGAGGATCTGTTCATCTTCAACCGAATGTCTTCTAGATTTCGTAGCAGTTGGTTTACAGGCAGGAGAAAGATGGCGAACAATAGAGGTGATTCAGTTTTGGCGGCCGAAAGCCCGCAGATGAAGGAGCGACCTTCTTCACCGTACGCATTTCTAGTTCATCATTCTAGCTGGGGAAGTTAAGGCTGAGCAATACACCCTCACGTAAGTTTCGCATTGCAGCAAGTTGCAGCGTTTAGTAAGAGATTTCACGATATGAAACTGGCGTCATAATAAACAGTTATAATACAAGAACGAGATAGAATCCATTGTAATTTTAGGATCACATGGATAAATTTTCCAATTGCTGGCATTGATAACGGAAAGATAAACTGTTGTCGGAGCTATCAGTGGCGATCAGTGCCTGAAGTTTAACGCTATTAACAAACATGGTGGTAGTGACTTGGCATAAACAAGTGGAAACGGTGAAAGACTA